GCTCGTTTTCCTGAGGATATCTATGAATTGCATTAGCTGACATCAGCCTTATAAATTAGGCCAGTGTTTCTTTCTCAACCTTAGCAACTTGGAAGATGTCTAGACTTAAAGTCCCAAAACTCCCAAGCCAGCGAATGCTGGCTGGGGAATTCTGGGACTTGAAGTCCAGACATCTTCCAAGTTGCTAAGGTTGAGAAAGAAACACTGGCCTAATTTATAAGGCTGATGTCAGCTAATGCAATTCATAGATATCCTCAGGAAAACGAGCACCCCCGTTCAGGATAGGTTTTAAAACGACTTTTTCCCTCCACCTCCTTTGCTCTGCCGCCCTTGGATGCTGGTTTCGTGGGGAAGGCTGCCTGGCACGCCGCACGTGCTACAAACGAACCGTTTGCCTGGGAGATGAACTCCACCACGCGAGACGGCTCACGATCAGTGGGGAGGGAGAAGGATCTCTTGCGCGTGCCCAGAAAACCATCCCTACACTTACAAGGGAACTGGGGGGGGGGGGGTTCCCATCCAAAGAGGGGCATAACTGGGATAAAACTTTATAGCGCATCTAAAGGTTAGGTAATCCCGCTGTCTGAAACGATTGCAAGCCGTTTCTCTTACCCGGTTTTGGTCTCGCTTTTCTTCTCCCCCCACCACAACGCCCTGCGGTCCGTTTCGTCGCGTTGGATGGTGGCAACCGCAGATCAGAAACCCGCCTGCACGCAACTTCAGCCGTTTCTTCAGATCCCGCAGCAAGTGCCGGTTTTTTTTTTCGGAAGAAGGCGAGCGAGCAAGCAGCAATCTCCGCAAGATGATCCCCCCCAGGGCAGGCAAACCAACCAACCTTGTGCAGCCCCCGAAGGTGTTTTTGCTCCGGTCGGTGATGCCGTTTGATCCAACCAGCGCGGCGGTTTCCTCTGAATCTCCACGGTTACTCCACCCACCACCCCCAGCCCCGATTCAGTCCGTTTCTTTTGCTTCCGTCACCAGGGGAAGAAGAAAAAAAAAAGAGAGAGAGAACCGCCGTTGCTGCAGTCTCAGCAGCAGCAGCACCAGCAGCAGGAGCGACAAAGTAATCCGCCGCCTCCATCTGCAACGGGGAGAGACCGCGAGAGGACGGGCCCCTCCATCAAGGTAGCTGGCTGGCTGGCTTGCAACCTGGCTCGACTGCCAAGGGCTAACTTCTATCGGGGCATCTAACTTTGCAACGACGTTTTTATTTTTTGTTAAGATCCCCCCGGAGAAAGAGAGCAGAGGAAGAAAGAATGGGCGATGGGGCAAATGATCGCCGAGATCTTCCCGGCGGCCGCCCAACTCCTTGCGCGAAGAACCTCGAGCCAAGGTTTCCCGACGCCGCCGCTGCTACACAGCTGCTGACTCTGCCTCCTCGGATGCTCGGCGGCTGCCAGTCCCCACCCCATGCCGCACGTGGTGGCTGTGTACAGCCAGGAGCCCCGCCCAGCGGGCTCCTGATTGGACGGGGCTTCCGCGGGAGGCGGAGGGTTCCCGTGCGCGCGCACGACGGGAGGGGGGGGGGAGAAATCTGGATGCCGGAAACGTTTTCAAGGCAATAGCAATAGCAGTTAGACTTATATACCGCTTCATAGGGCTTTCAGCCCTCTCTAAGCGGTTTACAGAGTCAGCATATCGCCCCTGATGCAGCCCNCTCTTAACTGGGAGCAGCCCAGAGTGGTTATAAGACGGGTGGCTATATCAATGTTTTTTTATTAATAAGTATAATAAATTAAGTTGGCATTAATTCAAACCAATGGATTTGTCACCTGCTTCCTTCGTGGCACAATCGACTCTCACCCATTTGAACGGTTGAAAGTCGAGGAAGTACACACTGGTAGGGCGGTGAACAACAACAAATAAGTAGGATAAAGGAAAACCGGCTATATTTCCCAGCCCCCCAGTTTATTGGTGGATTTTTACACCTCAGAAGGGAGAATTCCAGCAATCACAATTTTGGCCCAGCTCCATTTTTACTCTCCTGCACCAGTCAAGAATCAATCTAGAAGCTAGCATTGGTCAGTTATTTCTTTCTCCCACATAGATTTCTGTACACCTACCCTGAAGGTAGTAGGCCAGGCAGCCCTCCTCTCGGAGCTTCTGCAAAAGCGTGAGCAGCACTGATTCTTCTTCTTCCTCCTGGTTATCCGGCCGAGAGAGCTGGATTGTCCCCTCATCGTACAGCAGAACCATGTTCTCACAGAGCCCCTGAGGGGGCCCAGGCAGCAAGGACCGGACCGCCAGGCTCCCCTTCCGAAGGCGGCGCAGAAGTAGTCCTGGGAGGGCCACGCTCAGGGCCCGCTCCACGTGGGACGAATCGTACAGGTCCCGGCTGCGGCAATCAAGGATGTGCAAGCACGGAGAAGGAGAGGCCAACTCGGCCTGCAGCCACAGAGTTGACTTGCCCAGGTCCTCCATAAGGCTGCACGCCACAGTTTAGGTGGCCAGAACTGTCTTGGCCCAAAGCCTTCGGGTCAACCTTGGCAGAATTTCTGGAGAGCGTCTGAATTTTCCCACTCAAGAAAATGCATCAAGAGGAGAGTTGTACTTGCCACTTAACTTGCTTCCCTCCCTTCCAGTGCTTGAAAAGGGAGTGTGTGTGTGTGTGTGTGTGTGTGTG